AAGTTGATTTCATCTTCATTTGTAGTTACTCGACTTCCAGAAAGCAGCTTTAGTGAGTGTTGGTTACCGTGGTAACAACGTCACTTTAGTCCAACACGTTGGATCCATAAACATGTTAAACTACACATTAGACAGTACACTGGAGTTTTGTGTCAGTTTACATTGTTAGGCGAGCAGGGAAACTTCCCAGCATGCACCACGACAAACAGTCTCATGAGGCCTTTATTAATACAAAGCAGACCAAGTTCAGACTCACAGACTCTGGAGGAGATGAACCTTGTTGCAGGTTGGTGCACAGAGAACAACCGAATGCTCAACGTCATTAAGCAAACAGCTGATTGTTGAGTTCAGAAACAGGAAGACACACAGCCCTGTCTACACCACTTACTCACTGGTGAAATGAAGGTACAGATCTTACTGGGGAGGGAAGCAGCTGAGGATCCAGCAGGTTAACAGGGATCAGGGTCAGCAGTGACAGTCTGTCCAGGAGCAAGTGGAGCTGAGCTGCATACTGTGGGGGGTAATTGGGAACCAGTGGGACAGTCTGAGGGCCTCTGGTGGATAGATGAAGTCTGGAGAGCTCATCAGAAATGATGGGTGGGTGTTGGGGAAGTGAGAAGTGTCTGAAGACAGATACAAAGGGTCTGGCATGATGATGAATGTGGACAGTCCAGGACCAGAGGACTCTGCAGCGGCTGAGTAAAACCACCCAGAACATCACTGCTCCAATCTAGAGAATGAGTGAGATTGCTGAGACGAGCCCAAAGGATAATAAAGACTTTACTGTGTTGTAAAAAGACAATAAAGCTAAACCTTGATGAGGAGCACAAAGTCCACAGAGGCAGCCGGTTGTTAAACTGTCCAATAAAATGGAACCTGAACTCCTGGACTTGTGTATTCAATCATTTGGAGATGCTGAAGATTTCAGTGAGATATGAACCGAGTGCTGCAGTTCCTCCCTCTGACCACTCGGGGGCGCTGATCACTCACACATCTGTTATTACCATGTTCACAGTGAGAGGTCGATCAGGAGGATGAGCTGCTGACAGTGAAACATGTGATGTGGGTTTGATTACTGCTGGAGGACAAATGTTAGAGACACTGCCCCCTACAGGCTGCTCTGAGTCACTGGCTTCATACTGACTGCTGTCCAATCCAAC